TGTTTTAAAGTAGTATACAAAAAAGTGTATTAAGGAGGACGAGTTTTTTTTTTCAAAATAAGGTAAAGCGCTTTCATATAAAAGTACTAAAATCGCACATGGTAATTATCTTCATTACGATATGTACAGTTTTAATCGATATAAATCACGGAAAGGATATTTACTGCGAAAAGCCAGTAGTTCATCTGTAGTACCATATTTATGGGGATTATAGTACTAGGAACATTAGAAATAAATACGTCCAGAGGTAACGACATAAAAGAAAATTTATCCCTAGGATTTAGGCTTTGCTTTTATTATTTATGCATTTGTATATATACTTTTCGAAACTAAATTTCATCTTCTATCTAAATTGAAAATTTAGAAAACAAAATCAGAACGCGATGAATACATTTCATGACAGTCTTGCATCTTTAATTTTTTTTCAAATATTGTATGTTAAACATTATATAATACTTCTGAAAAAATAAAAAGAAAGTTTATTTAATGTAAAAAATTAAAATTATCAACAACAGGTTGTTTAGAGGGGCATTTCACTTAACTGAATATTACCTTTTATGCGCGACAACCGTTAGAAATAAAAATTTTTTTTCTAAACCCAAGTATAATTTTAAATTTTGCGCAATAATATTTTGTTTTTCGCATTTTACCCTTACACTTAGGGTAGTTTCCTCTATGACCATCCCTTTCTTGAATCTCTTCCGGTTCTTAAATACCTAATTCTAGCAGTTATCTTTGGCGGGATATATTAGTTTATCTCACGCTCTCTCAAATGTTCGTCAACAAGTGTAAATAATAGGTTTTCTAAAATTTTTCTACTTTTCATAGATTTACTAGGTCTACGTTTCCTTTATTTACAACTTGGGAATTTATACCAGCCACATGCAGCATTCCGAAGAATACTACCATGGCAACCGCCAAGTGTTGCGGACGCATTAATACAAAGCACATAATCTGTCGACCATATCTACACCTTCCTTGGTTTGATTTTAGTTTTTTATTATCTCAGGTTTCTGTTTTTCTCCAGTATTCTTATCAATGCCGTCAGTTTTACGCAAACTCAGTAATAGAAGCACAACCTTGCATTTTTTGGGGTATACAAAGCTAGTGTGGAATCCAAGCATACCTGAAAAACTCAAGAAGGGTTTTTTACATTGAGAAATAGAGGGGGTATTTCCCGTTTATTCTTTCTAATTGTACCCAGGATAGTTAGTCGGTGGTTCAGTAACATGACATCAACTAATTTAACACTGGAAAACCAATTATCTTGGATAATGTTTCTTTGTCTGACTGAGTTTCATCATGCAAACGTAAAAGACGAGCTTGTTCTGCTTCATAACTCCACATTATAATTTCTGCTGAAAAATTTTAAAGTTGCAAAAAAACTATACAAAAAAGTTCTACATTCTTACCTAATAAACTAAGAAAAAATAAAACAATTACGCAATATCTCTGTTAGTAGTCGCAGGGCGTTTCCGGATCAACATAAACTAATGCGAATTAGTATCAGCCCAAGAGAGTACTTTATCGGAAGGTACCGAAAACCACCGAGCGTAATATCCAATGATTCTTGAGATTTATCTGAATTTAGGTTCCAGATCTGTGAGACCTCCGCGACTACTCTAAGGATAAAATAATCTACTACGCCATTCCAGTACCGATGAATGGACAATAGAGCGGCACTATATTGCAATTATATCTATAACAGAGTACCAAATGTTTTGGAGGTTAGTACAGCGTACATGCTATTAAAAGTTAAAAACTAATTAAGCACACTTGACCGACATGAAAAATATTGATTCTTATAAAGAACAAAAAATATAGTTGAGAAGAAAGAAGGAATAGTGAGCTGGAATTAAGTGAAACGTATGTGGTAGGTATGACAAGAACGTAAGAAAGCAGTGAACCTGGAAATAGGTGATGTTATATATATGGAGGCCACTTATAAACGAAATAAGTTAAGTTTTAAACTGGATTGTACCAGCGAAAATTAAAGATGTAAATGAACCATGCGTGAGTAAATACAACACCTTGAAAATTTTTGTTGCTTTTAGTTGTCTTGAGGAATGAATTAAAAGGCCGTACGACAAACACATACTCTATTTCAGTAAACAACTCGGCCTGTTGAATTAAACTCTGACACCGTATTATGGGCCAAATACCTAATCCGGGGCGATAGCTGGGTTTTATCATAATTAATGAGGGCGAGGTTAAATTCGCGACCACCAAAGGCCGAAAGGAGAGTAGCGCCAGTGGAATGGAACCCACAACCTTGAGTATGCGCGTCGATGCTTCTATCCGCTGAGGTACGACGACAACTCTCGGTCTCGATGTGATGGTTTTACGTATTTAACCTGTTAGGTCATACTTGCTGAAGAGAGGAAAAATTTTGAAGCGACCCTAGAACGGGAAATTTCGTTATGTTACATTAATTCTTTATCAGCCCCCTGAGTTTAAAGAGTAAAGTTATTCTTAAAAATTCTAGAATAGCTACGCAGGTACTCGTTAACAATTAGAAACGGCGCTTTCTCATGAGAAATTAATTAGAGAGATTATACTCTTTAATAAATTTTATTTTTCAGTGTAAGAGATTTATAATCAACTAAACGAAGTTTTTATTTATAACTTTATCTGGAAACACTGTTTGCTGAAAAGCTTTTATTAGCAGGAAAGTTCTTTTAGAAGAAAATGTATATTAAAACCCCCTTTTAAAAGGAATACTTCTAAAATTATCTTTTATACGACCGAGAAAAATATGTTACGGGTATTAAAGGAAAAAGTCTACTAATAATCCCTAAAAAGATTTTGTTCTTTCTCGCCAGTACCTCCGCTTTATAAAAGTAGAAATAACATTTGCGTTTTTTTCTTACGAAGTAGTAGAAACAATCCATGGGCTTCCCAAGATAAAAGTCGAAATGCTACTCTACGCCCGCAAGCGGACTTTAGCTCATTTAGACTTTTGGTGCGATTAATTTTATGACCTACTAAGTTATGAAAGCACAATTTATCTATTTTTTTTTAAAAAAAATAAGTTTTTGAACTAATGTTAAAGGTTTTCTAAAAAAATATAATTTAAAGTTATGACGTTTATTCTTGTAAAAGAAAGTCCAGGTTAATAAGGATTACTTCCTCTTTGGTTCCAAAAAAATTCGATGGAAGAAACCAATATTAGGCACTTAAAAGCTGGAAAATTAAAATTACGGCTAACTTTGCTAATAAGCTGTGTAGGGCATTAACATTTATTATTATTATAACTTGAAGAAGAAAAAAACCAAATACTTTCTTTTTAAGCAATGTTTCTGAAATGCTTTAACATTTATATATATTTCCCTTTTTTTTTTTTTTCTTGTTGTGTAACAATAACAACCATTCTTTCAGCTGTTATAATTTGAAGAGGTTTACTGACTTCAGACACAGTTTTTAATTCTACGAAAAGATGAAACAAATCTTCAACTCACCGTCAAGGAGCGGGACCATTATTTTGCTTACATAAAAAATTTCCAAGCATCCCAGTTTCGTAAAAGTTGTCGCCCCCAAACACCAAGTTTGTTACTATAATAACTAGCATAGTTTGCAAAATATTATTGAAGTCTGCTATGGGCAGGTTCAACTTTTGTTATTCGCTTTAAGAAAAACTCACTTTCTCATTTTCACAAAATCTAATTCTCAATTTACCTCCTTTATAATGGCTAGTTAAGATCTTTTCTTCTCTTAGTCTCCAGCTAACAGTCCTTTACTAACTACAAACTCTTTTTTGTTACCATTGTTGTAACTTAGTTTAATAGACTACCTTCTTTCTCTGTTTATAGTGGACCCTAAATAGAGGTATATATATCATAGAAGGAAAAGTAAGAAAGCTCAAATAACTTTGCTCCTTGATTTTTTAGTTTATAGTCTGTATAACAATATATAATAGATGATTAACTAAGATTTGAGGGGTGGGTCTTATAGACAAATGTTAACAATCAAAATTTATAACTCGATCACAAAGGGGCTGCGCCTTCCCATAACGTCAAACTTTTATTTTTAAGCCATCTATAAGCTTCTCACCAAAAAGTTTTTAATACATTAAAAAACTCTTATTACTTTCTAAAATGCAGGTTCCATAGCAAAAAACTAGACAAGATAGCTTTAAATAGTTGTAAATAAAATACCAACCCTAACCAGCGGTAGCTTGTGCATTGAAAAGCTAGGAGCAGGTAATTCTTAAGTTCCAAAAAAATTTAGGGCAAAGTGCTTTACTAATAATTAATTAGTAGCACTCTTAATACTAGTACAAGAGAAAAATGTGAAAGTTGAGGTTTTAACTGTAAATAAAGAAAATCTAAATTTAATCGTAGCCTTAATGGCAATTTAGATTATTGACCAATGCTTATAACAAAGAATTTCCTGGTTTTTGAGTGCAATAGTATTGGTTTTCATAAGTACAAGGTTGACGTCGTACAGAAAATATACTTTTGATGTAGATTATAGGTTTAAAATAATTTTAATAATTTATGACGAGAGTTTACATTTTTATAAAAAAGTAAAAATAGTTTTATTATTTTTTTAAGTATAATGCAAGAAGATATTATGAATCTAAGGAAAAGTTACTAATAGGTTTATTATGTTATCGAAAATTAAAAATTTTAATAATTTAAACTGGCTGAGGATGCCCACTTAAAAAAAAGTAAAGTTAATACAATGCGCACTAGTGCGTATTTAGTTTGCAAATGAAGACGCCTACAAATCTTTAATGTGGCCTTAAGTAGAAATTTTTGTTGTTCTCTACCTGCTATGCATTTTTGTAAATATATTTTTAGAAGTGAACCAGATCCTTGTAAGTGTTTTTTTGAAAACACTTGCTTAAGAAATTTGAGGTGAGACTCTTTTTCATACTAGGATTTTAAATATAAATAAGCTACTTTATAAGTATAATGGTCTATTTATTAAAGAAAGTGGAGTCGTAATAGTAATTTTTTTAAGCTTTTTCTTAAGAAAACTTTTGCCTTGAACTTTATATACTTTCTATAATAAATTCCTAGTTGACGTAGGTGTACTTTTTGAGTTTTCCTCTCATGTATGAATTATAGGGTGGTACTCAATCGTACTAAATATGTTTTTCTAGGATTATAATAGTTTGTACTTAAACTTATTAAATTTGTGTTTAATAAAATATATTTAAACAGAAAAGTAGGTGAAATTTTAATCAAGAATGAATTTCAACTTATTTCAGGAAGGAAATAATACTTTTCCTAGTTTTCAAATTAAAAATGATGAAAATATAATGAGTATTCCTTCGTCAATGGAAATTCCATTTGTTGCACCTTCTTCTGCTGCTTTCGACGCTTTTAATCAAAGTACTTAATTATTTTATAGCTTTTTAGCTTCTTTACTTGTTATGCCTTCAAGTAACAAAAAAACTGACTAACTTGAACATCATTTCATTTATATGTGGCAGCATTTAAAGACTTAAATAAAATCGATAATATAAAGCAGGGCATAAAGAACTCTTTATATAGATTATTAGAAAAGTACTAAAAGTTATATAGGGCAATGAATACAAATTAATTAAATTAGAGAGCTACTATAAATGAATTAAAACCCTAATAGTAGGGTGATCGTAATAACACTAGAGGAAAGGGAGGAGGAGAGCAAGAGCACTGCATATATGTCTACCTAGGTGCGGTATATAGTATTGTTAATTTTTCATGGTCAAAAAAATTTAAATTTAACCTTAGAAGCGGTAATTCCCCTAGAATTATCATATATAAACTATGGGTATCCTATAAGATTTAAATTCTTTTGCTGCAAAATTAAAAGAGAATTAAAGAGGTTTAACAGGCTAGGTTTGACATGGATTTTTATACTTTATTAAGGTTTATTTGTTATCTTAATTTGGTTTGATTAACAACTTGAGTTAGATTATGAAAACACCTTCATTTATAATGGAAGCCTATTGGCTAAAAATGTAATAGGTCTAAGTTATTTTATTTGTAATTAATGGTTATTTTACTATGTTTATCTTTAGTTTGTTAAGTTTAAACAAGTTAATCCATTTTTATAATTATAAATTTTTATTATTCATTTTTTATTATTCATTTTTTTATAAGTAAAAACGGGCGTTATTATGTTATGCGGTTACTTGATACAGAGATTGGACATTCGCATTTTCTTCTTTATAGTAAGCTAAGAACAAATTAATAACTCTATTTATTTTTGTTTATAAAATTAGATTTAAATACACCACTGAGCCCGGAAACGGAATTATTTATTAGGGCACCCCCTGCCGATGCTCATGCTCATCTGAATAATACCGAACTCTTTCGGGTGCCAGGCAACTTAAATTTAGGTGGCTAAGGAGTATGCTTAATTTTCGTTATTATATAAGGGTTATAAATTTATTTAGTTATATGTAAGCAATTTAAATATTATAGAAACTTAACGTTGACAAAAAATCAGGTATTCAGCCTTCTCTGCTCCAACCAGCTGGACTTTTGAGCAATTCTGTTTTAAGACCAGAAAGCGAGGTTTATGGTAGCAACTAAAATCATCTTTAACCTTTGCTTACGACAAATTAGTAATAATTTAACTATTAAAATTTAAACTAATTAATAAAAATCTTATTAGCCCACATCTCTAGTCATGACTACGATTTGTATAATATAACCTCGCAACCTTCGGCTGGATGTGTAGGAGCTCCTAGCTTCTATCCTATTTCGAATGTGCTAATTGGAACAGGTCCTTTAATGACCTTGGATATATATTTTCAATCTATTAGTATTTTTTAAAGCTACTTCAATGATTCCTGCCTTTTCTATAAGGCCAAATGGTGCTTATACCACCTGTACGACTGCCCCTCAATGGATAGCAAGTAATAAATTTTTTCTTGACAAATAATACTGTTGGTCAAATAATTGTTTATAGTCAATAGAGTTGCTCAAAATGATCAGGAATTCCAGGTTTTTCATAATGTATTAACGTTCTCCTCTGTAGTTAATACCTACTACCTATAAAATATAGAGGTATATACTTCCTAATGGAAACATAAAGTACAACAAGTATATTAATAAAAAAGCCCTTCTTCCACGCAAACCTCTAAAATCTTGCTCAGAATGCAAAGGTTATCCACAAAAAATACCCTTAATAAGTCCAATACCGGTTAACTGTTAATTTATAGCTACGGAAACTCCGCAATGGCGGCGGGGTCCAAATGGAAGGGTAAGTTTATGCAATGCTTGCGGGATAAGATATGACAAACGCAGGAAAGAAGTTGAGGCTTTGGCCGAAAAGAGTAAAATTAGTGGTGTTGTATAACGAGGAAATTTCAAACAATCAATGCGTGTAATAATATTTTTAATATATAAGAAGTTTTTGTTTTTTTTTCATAGCATTGATTTAAGCCTATTTTTTCTGTATTCCCTTTTGTTATTTTTTTATTTGAGATTTACAAAAAGGAATTTATCTAGATTAAAAAATACGTCAATTTGGCTATAGCACACAAATAACATTTTAATTTATACCGGAAAAAGTTTTAATTCGTAATTTTTTATACATAAGCCCTAGTTTTAATCCTAATCTAGCATAGACTCCAAATGTGTTCGCTAATAGAAATAGCGTGCACCACCCCATTGTGGGCCGTAATAAAGCTCGCTTGACACTACTGAAAACATATATTCGATTAGCTGTTCTTAGCTGGAATTAACTTACGTTGAGACGATATGTAGCGTCTCTTTTGGAGACGCCAATTTAAAACATCTCTTTTCATTAAGCAAAGCACGCCCGTCAAGGTGCGCAGCAGCTTGTTATAGCACGAGAACGCTGTTTTTAGAGAGTTGTGAGCACAGATGGTAGACAAGTTTTTCAATTAACTGGCTACACAGAACACAAGCGTCGTTGTTGCGCAAAAAGGGTTTGCTCTTGGAATGAAGTAAAAAACTCATATTGTTAATAATGACTTTCCATTTCACTAACCTGAAGCTTTACTTAGTTTCATAGGAACTATGCGCTGGTACTGCCATATCTGTTTTGAGTTATTTCTTTATATAAAGAAGCATTATTTGTAGAGTGTCTTAAATGTTTCAACCTGTTAAATAATTTTTACGAATAACGCTGTCTAGTAAGGTTTTGAATAGAAGGTACACAGAAGGTAAACTGCATAAATAAAATTTTTTTTAATTTTGTCCGGCAATTAATCTTTCACCTTACAAACTGGTTGAAGAAATGTAAGTTTGCCAATTAACCTAGATATTTGTTGTGGGAGGAGAAAAAGAGCCTGCCTATAACCTCATTAAAAGTCATTTTATCATTATACAATATATTTTTAACTGCGCCAACAGTATACGGTCCTGAATATCTTTTATTATAGTTGCTGCAATAAAGTGTAGTGGAGAGCACTTGCTTTAGTCATGGGATGTCTCATACTGTGAATAAAAGTTCACTATTTACTTGCCCAAATTAGTTTTAAACAATATAATTAATATAATCTTTGGGTCCTACTATTGAGGTTAAAGTTTAGGTTAAGGGTTAGGGTTATTTTGGAGTGTTGAGCATATAAGTTTCAACAAAAGTTGCATAATTTATTGACCGAAAATGTGGGTGAGAGCATTATCCCGAAATCTCAAAATCGGGAGTTCGATTCCACTCGTATCTTTCTGGTTTGGTGGTTACGTGTACAGCATCCTTATAAACAAAAAAAAGGAAAAATTAAAAGATTTTAGTAAGTAAAGTTAATTATAAAGCGAATTTATACAAGTTTATTATTATTAAATATGTTTTATAAACTGTTTCTGGCCCATCTGCATTAGTTCCACACTATGCAAGAATAAGTGCATTTTTTCATGTAATATAGAATAACTCTTTAATAACTTAAGGGATTACTTTAAAATTAATACACAGTAAACTTCTATGTTCTAGCTACATTTTGTTTATACTTGTTCTTCAATAAGTTTAATATTCGAAAGGGTATGAGCTTGTAATGTGGGAGGAGTATAGAAAAAAGTTTACGCGTAGAAAAAATTCAATTTAGTAAAGGAGGTTTTAATAATTAGTATAACCCTTTTTCCAGAATCACTGCTTGTATCCTCTTTGGCATACTGGCAGTCAGATGGTAGCGTTTATCCGGTGTTATATTTTTCCATTTTAATTGTATACGTGCCCAAAACTCGACCAAGTTAGCAGGAGTTGAATAGTATGATTCCCAATTTTCTCTTCAAGATTCCCCGTGCATGCTCAGTGGGATTGAGGTCAGAAGATTGCAGAGGCCAGTTTAACACTTGGAACGACTGTAATTGAAGACATGACGGCACCGATAGTGCAGTGTGGCTGGCAAAGGGCATTACCCTGTTGAAAAACCATTTCACCAAGACCAAGCCATACCAATCGCGTTTCCTGGATAGGTCCTTCTTAAAAATGTCTAAACAGGTGCTTGCAGTGATGCTCTCCCTATCACTTTCCCAGATATCAGGCCCCCTTAGATGTTATACAGGACGAAATCATAATCGATCCTTCCCCGTGTTTATACATTTGCACCACCTGGTGATCAAGTATTCGATTATCGCCGGATTGCTTCCAATACCTAATACTACCTGAACCATATCGATTCGTTCCGGTCTTTTCCCAAAAAATTACTTTTTCCCAGTCAGAGATGGATCAGTTTTCGTTCTTCTTCTCAATTCAAATCTTAGTTGCTTGTGACGGTCTGTCAAAGTAAGTTTAATAAACTTTTTTTTCGCATGGAGAACAGCAGGATGTAACGCTTTCGGTATGGTCGATCTTGAAACTGGTTTATCTAATGTTGTTCCAATGATTTTTGAAGCTTTCTGTGAAGATTCAATAACACCCAATGTCACTTGTCGTACAACTCGAGTTACATCCCGGTTTTTCAAGACCTTTGGGCGCTCAGTTTCACTGCAAGGTCGATGTGTATCATACTGAGCTTTGATCCGGGATATTGCGGCCTTACTGACACTACACTTACTAGCGGGGATCAGTATAAGGCTTGCCCTTGCCCTAAAACACATTTTACATCATTTTCTTTCTCGATTTAAAGTTTACGCATCATTAAATTAAGTTCTCTAAAAAAGCTATCCTTTATAGCCACTCAAACGCTTAAAAAAAACCCCTAAGTTGGAGTGAGCAGGGAAATTTCGTATAAAGATTGAAACAATTTTGCACGGAGGGACACGTAATAATCTTTTCAATAGCTACTTAAACTTTAAAAAGCGATAAAGCCTTAAGTAAGAAAGCAATTCCTCTAATACAAACTACATTAAATAGATCTCAATCTAAACTTATATATATGTAAGGGATCAACATTAATTATTATGCGTTACAGAATTTTTACAAAAAAATTTAAAACAGATATAATTTTGAACGAGTGTATATATTAAAAAGCATTTTTTTACCATTAGTTGTAATACTTTGATTGTATGTTTAAGTAATCTACCATAAACTTTAAAACTAATTTTTTTAAACAAATATAATATAGTTATCGTCCCTATAAAATAGCTTAAAATTTTAGTCATTTTTTTATTTAAAGATATAATTAAAAAACCTAACGAGTAGTGCTCTTTTTCTAATATATAGAGGCTTTTAGGATGTCCACTTAGTTATATATATAATATTTTTATGCTAACGTAGTTAACCATTGTTTTTTTTATGTTCAGCCATTAAGGACTTTTAATTGCAATACTGAAATACATTTGAAAACAAGTTTAATTAGATTAGACCGCGTGGGTAACACTGATATTCTAAGAAGCCACGTGTCCTGGTATAAAGTCCTGCTACTGCAGGATAAGTCACCTTAGCAATTCACATATTTATATTATATTTTAAAATTTTATATCTGTTAGAATTAGGAGTAGTTTTTTAAAGTTAACTAGTTTCTGATTAAGAGAAATAAGTTCGTCTAGAGGATATGTACATGTCCCCACTATTTTATTTATATTCTAAGTCATTAAGAAACTTTTTATTGTAATTTAAAATATAAGTTTGGGCTGTTTAACAATTATATTTATTTTTCCGCCGTTTCACTGCACACAAACTATGTTGCTTGCAGGCATTTTATTATAATTTCTAAAGCAATATTTTTTTTTAAGTTATAGTAACCTTATTAAAGTTTTGAAAATTTTGTACATATATACGTATATCTTGCAATATGATAGCAACACTGAGTGCAATATTGGAAGTGATTATGATGAGCACTGGTGCCTCAGCGCTAAGTCCACTCTCAGCCCTGCAGTGAATGAATAACCTGTGCTATAAACACCGTAAAAGGGTCATTTATTCGGCTGCTAACTTAATTACAACTTTCGTATCGTTTTGGTTAAAAAGATATATTTGACTTAACTGTGCAGAATAATAAATTGTCGGTTTTAACAAAATAAAAAAACGAATAAAGACTTACTATATACATATTAAAAATTTGAAAATATATAAGCACTAGGGAATTTATTATTAAATACTTGAAGAAAAAGAAGAGGTAAGCACCTTATAGAGCTAAGACTTCTGCGCCGTGAACTTGTAAATTTTCAGCTAAATCCGTATCGTAAATTTGTTCTAAGTAAATATAGGTGTTTTCTTTATAATATATAGAAATACAACAAGTAAACGGCTAAAGACCGCTCTCCGGGGTAGAATACTCAAATGTTTCAGCTGGAACATACTGAAATAGTTGATAAATGTCAGGATAATTTTCCATTAGAAAATTATTTTCTACAGCAGTAATTTTATCTTAGTTAACACAGAAGGAATAAAAAGATGGATATAACAAAATTTTTTTTAATGATGGGATAATCCTATAAGTAAAGGTATGTGGTTTCGATCATACCCCTGATAATACTGAATTTATGAGAAATTTAGCCCTTGTCTGAGCTTTATGATGTGCTAAAATTATAAAAGCCCTCGTGAAACACAACTTTTTACAATTATTTCTCTTTACCCTTACTATACTACGTTGACCTTATTTGCACTAACGCTACAAAAACTATTGTATCATAGACCGTATATTACTCATTAAAAGAATTTCCTACGTCGTTAAGTGGTTCTGTTGATACCACTAGAGGGATACGTTATTGATACAAATATTTAAGTGAAAAGAGATATCAGCTACTTTCAACCATGGCGTTATCCATTGTTTTGGTGCCTTTTTTATCTATAAACAAATGGCATTTTATAATTAGTTAAATTGATAATTTATAGCTTTCAAATTCAATAAAGATTTAACCCGGTGCTAGCGCAGAGTCACTCAGTTCCTTTATAGTCAAGAGCAACACGAACTTCAGGGATATCCAAATATTCAAGTTGCTTAAGCTTTTCCACCCCCTTTCCAATCAAGTTAGCTGCTAGAGCTTTTTCCTATAATTATACATTATTACAGCT